ATATAAAATATAATAGTATAATATAAGGTATATTATAATATATGACACAATAATATCTACTTTTAATTAAAATATAAAAACAACAAAAATTAAAAAAGAAAATATTTTGATAAATAATAAATTATCATTCAAACAATTTTCAGACCAAAAAATAACTTGTAACTTATTTTTTTACTTATCTTCATCTAATAAACATTACTTATTTTTTACTCATCTTCATCTAATAAACATTAATATTAATACCATTTTTAAACATTATTAGAATTTTTTTTTTTATCAAAAAATAAAAATATTAAATCAGTTACTTTTTGGGCTTTTCTTATTTTACTTAAAACATCAACTCAATTCTAGGCTTTTTTCATTATTGAGTTTTAATTTGTAATGTTGAATTAACACTGAAAAAAAATAATATTAGCAGACAAAAAGAAAATATTTCTTTATTGAAATATATGTAAATATTTCAATAAAGAAATTTTAGATCGATTTTTATAAATATAAATTTATATCAATCAATCTAAATTTTTTTCTTTTCCGCCACCTTTTCGAAATAAAGAGCATTTTTAGAAGTTAGACAAAATGCCATCAATTAAAGTTTCAGTCACTCCATCGTATTTAATAGAAGCTGTTAATAAAAAAAAATTAGAAAAAAAAAAAAAAAAAAACACAAGGAGAAATTTTTGAATATATAAAAAATGAGAGTAAAAAAGTTATACATATCTTATAAAGGTATACCTTTCACTGCACCATATAAATTAGTGCTCTTAAAGCATATTTCCACTTTTCCCCTTCATATTCATGGAGGTCACAAAACTGTTGGAAAATATTCTAAATTTTAATAGATAAGAGAACTGATATTAATTTTGCAAGAACTAGTATTAATTTTTTTTTTAAATTTAAATTGAACTCATTATCAAACAATTTTTTTGCTAAATAATTTAATCCTTAAAATTCCTGAATAATTAAAAATTATTTTGATTACCTCAGCATTTTAAAGATATTCCATCGATTGCAATTGATTCACCTAAAAAAAAAACAACAAGTAAAGCTTATATTATTGTTTGAAATTTTAATTATCTTTATACAAATACTCATCATATTTTTAAAGTGACTGATAAAAATGGATTTAATTAAAATCACTTCATTTGTTTTAAAAAATTAATATTAAAGCCTTAATCATACATTATACAAGAGTATTTTGTAATACAATCTAAATAGTTGTTGCGATATGTAATTTTTTTATCCAAAATTTAGCTTCTGTAAGCTTTAGAAATTTTTTAAAGAAATTATTGATGAATTTGGATCTTTGGGTACTAATGTTTTTATATTGTTGTAATGTTTGTATTCATTCCCTGTTAGTTTCTGTAAGTCAAAATTTTAAGGTGTTTCCATAATAAATTCTGTTATATCTGAAATTTAGTGTTAGTCTGAATAATTTAATTTCTAAAATCTGTTTTGCATTGCCTGTCTTATAACATCTTTACTTGGAACAAAAACCATGTGGTTTAAAATTGAGCTAGAAGCTTTCAACAATGAAGAAAATATTGCATTCAGTAATCCTAAAATATATTTAACCTGTCAGCAAAATCAGCTGTCAATAATCCAAGTATTAGCATCATTAAAAATTCATCTTTGCTGCATTACATTTATTTTGGTCCAAGTAGTTAAGGATTTTTTTAAATTTCAAAAAACAGAAGTATATGTTTTTTTTAATATCACTTTATCTCTTTTGATTAATGGTGATACTGCACTAACTGATGAAACACAGTGACAGATGTAAGGCCAGTATAAAAGTCGCGAGATCTATTATTTTAAAAATAAATGTTTGTATACAAGTAAATTGCAATAACACGATTTGTTTGGATTATGTTTATATACAAGTTTGTCTGTTTTTATAGTAATAACTGATGTGGTTGAAGTTAATTTTTCAAATAAATCTTTATTTTCAAATAAATCTTTATTTTTTTATTTCGTGCTGAAGTTCTTTTTTAAAGTTATCAATTTCCTTTTTTAATTCTTGATGCTCTATTAAAAAACAACGCTTAACATTAAATTTAACATAATTAAACGATAATGTTCTTTCAGGAAAATCGTCTGAACATGTTTTCGATCTCTTGAAAATTCTATATGATATAAGTTCAGTATTTACATTTTTTTTCCATGACTTTAATATAACTATAACTTTAATCGTTGAAATAATGTTTACGATTTTACTTCCATTTCTGCGCGCGCATAAATTTTATATCGTATTTTTTGTCAACAATGATTGAAATAATTACCTTAAAATAACGTTAAAAAATCAACGTTTAAACTGTAACGTTGATTTAACGTTGAAATAACGTTAAATAATCAACGTTTAAATGGTAACGTTGATTTAACGTTGTGACATAGTTGAACAACGTTGAATCAACGCTTCAACCGAATTTCAACGTTGAAACAACGTAATAATGCCGGCTGGGTAGTAATATTAATAAAAATAATTTTTTGATATAATTGACTTGCCAATTTTTATTTATAAAAGTTTATTTATAAAAAAAAAAGTAAAAATGTAAAGATGGATCTTTACATTTTTACGTTCAGTACAATGACGGATGCTGTAATGAAATGACTGAAATAATATGTGGTGTTCCACAAGATTCAATTTTAGGACATTTTCTTTTTAATCTATATAAATGACTTTAATAAGGCAACTAATTAGTATTACATTTGCTGATGAGACACTTTTTTTTATTCAAGCTAAAACTCATGAAACTCATCAAATAAATTTTATATAATATATATAAAATTAGACAGAGCACAAAGTTGAAATAAAAAAAGAATCATCCACAAAGTTTTTAGTAAATTATTTACAAGAAACTATTACATGGTTATCACATCTTAATTACATCATATCTTTTACATTTCAATTTACATATCAATTTTTACATATCAATTACAAATATCGCATCTTTTTTTTTAACTTTTACATATCAATTACAAATATCACATCTTAATTACATCAGCTCTAAAATTGTCAAAAGTATCGTAATTTTATTTAAAACCAGAAATTATTTAACAAAAAAACGTTATGCAAATATACTACTCACTTGTATATTAGTTACATTAACTATGCAAATATTGCCTGGGGAACTATTAGCAAAAATAAATTGCAACTTCTTTATCATCGCTTTAAACATATATGAACTAAAGATTTATAAAGTTCTATTATATGTTTCAAATTGAAACATTAAAACTTTCAATGTCAGAATTTAGCAACCGTGGCGCTGTGGTAGCGCACTTGCCTCAGAAAAAAAGAATCCGTGGTTCAAAGCCCAACTCTGTGCAAGTTTTGTGACATTGGTTAAAAAACAGGCGTGACCTTCTAATTAATGCTTATCCACGGTACTCGGTGATAAAACCGTAAGAATTCTTGGTGCACCTAAATAAAAAATAATAAAAAATCAAATAAATAAAAAGAATGATCCAGGGTAACTTATTATTAAAGAAATTTTTCACATTATTCACATTGTGAATAATGTGAAAAATGAAACCCTGGATCATTATTTTTATTTATTTATTATTTATTTTTTTTTGATTTATTTGATTTATTTTTTTGAATTATTTGATTTTTCAAAATTTTGTAGAACAAAAATTAGTCAGTTTAGACCTTAAAATAGTTTTGCTTAATTTTTACAAGTCAATATCATTCACAGTTAAAAAACTATTTAAAAGAATTCATATTTTCATCGGATAGCGTACTTTTAGCAGTATACTGCTAAAAACAGTCCGTTAAAAAAAGTAACGGATTGCACTTTTTTGTCAAATTAACGGATTAATTCGTTACCAAAAACCAGAAAATTAACGGAGTAAAATTAACTAACTATTTACGGGTTCTTTGAAATTTTGTGAATTCAACGGATTAAATATTCTAATCGGTCAAAAAAAATTTTTCAATATATTATATCTTTTTAATTTGAAAATGATAAAGTTTTGAATGCGTTTTTCTCACATTTACATTTACATCGTAGATAAAAGTTGGTTGCAGTAAGTGTAATATGCCATTTTTTAAAAAGCTTTACATTCAGTTGACAAAGCAAATGGATAAATATAATTTAAATTACGCTATGTTATTTTGAAGGTTATTTAACTTATTTTAAATTTACTATATAAAGCTTTATACAGAAAATTTAACAATAAGGTTTATTTTATTTTAAATTAAAAGCCATTAGTATTACTAAATAATATATAATAACATATATGGTAAGTTAATACATATAAAATATGGTAAGTTACTACATGTCTAAATCAAGAAAATTATGCAAGAATATATGCAATCCATATAGTCTATATTATAGAAATAAAAGTTCAACTAATTCTTTACTAGTAGTAAAGGGTTAGTTGAACAATTATTTCTATAATATAGACTAAATGGATTATTTATAGTCTTGTTTAACTTTATATTTTAGACATATGACATGTAGTAACATACCATATTAGTTTAAATCAGTTGTAAAATTAAAAAATGTTAACATCTTTGATAGGTATATTTATTTAGGTTAGTTACAGCTAAGTTTACATGGCTAGTTAATATGTTTTTATAAATTGCAATTTTTATTAATTTCCAAATTAAACATGTGGCATCCAATATCATAAACTAAGATTATACTGGTGTGTTTATATTATTTTAGAATTTTTTGTTTTAGACACATGGCATTTGTTATCCCACTGTAAGTTAAAACTAGTTTTAAAATTAAAAAATTTATATTATTATAAAAGAGGTTAAATTTATATTTAACTTCTTTTTGTATTAACATTCATGTTTATTTATTTATACTATCTTAGAATTTGCTGCTTTAGAGGCACGGCATTTAGTGTCACATTGTAGGTTTAAATTGGTTGTAGAATTTATATTGTAACTTGCATATTTATTTAGTTGAGTTTAATCTAAGTTTATATTTGATGTGTTTGTATTATTTTAGAATTTACTGTTTTAGACACGTGGCATATGGTATCCCACTGTAAGTTTGAATTAGTATATTTAAAAAAAAATTATATTTTAACTTGCATTTCTTTTGACGTTCATGTTTATATAATTAGATTACAACTAAGTTTGTGTATGGCTTGTTTATATTATTTCAGAATTTGCTATTTTAGACACTTGGTATAAGCTGTCATACTGTAAGTTTAAATTGGTTGTAATTTTTATTTCTATTGGCGTGAATATTTATTTAGTTGAGTTTCAACTATTAATAATAATAATAATAATAATAATAATAATAATAATAATAATAATAATAATAATAATAATAATAATAATAAGTTTATATCAAGCGTGTTTATATTATTTTAAAATTTACTGTTTTAGACACGTGGCATGTGGTATCCCACTGTAAGTTTGAATTAGTAAATTTAAAAAAATTGTATTTTAACTTTTCTTTTGGCATCCATATTTTTTTAGTATAGTTAAGTCTAAGTTTATATCATACTTTTTTAACTATTACTCTACTACCCGACGGGCATTTGTTTTTAAAAGTTATGTTCTAAATGTATTTTAAATGTCTTTTAAACGTCTTCTAAACATTCTTACGCAAAAAACGTTTAAAAGACATTTGAAATACATTTAGAACGTAACTTTTAAAAACAAATGCCCGTCGGGTATATTCTATATTCTCTATTATTTTAGAATTAGCTATTTTAAACATGTGACAAGTGGTACGACACTGTAAGTTTAAATAAGTTGTAAAATTAATTTTTTTATATAGTTACTTGCTTTTTTTTTGGTCTGCATATTTAATCTTGTTTTGATTTATCATAGTTTTTAAAAGGTTAGAGACTTTTTTTTTTGCTCCTGATAGCTATTGATATATGTGAAATGTATAGAGTCTTTCAGTTATCAGATAATGTCAAGGTAATCTTATACTTTTTTTTAATTTACATTTTAATAAAGATATAATTTACTTGTTCCCTTTAACTTTATCTTTAAAAAACGATATCAGAAATAATTAAAATAACAAAATTTAGAATAGAAATTTATATATAATGAATTACCAAAAACATTTTCTATAGTGCTATCAGTAACATTTTATTTTGGTTCTATACTAGATATGTTATTAAGTTTCCATATTTTCCTTATTTTATTTTATATTAATCTCTAAGGAGTTGACAGCATGGTGTCCGATTTAAAGTGTGAACCTGTGTACGAGTAACAACAGTATTCAAAACCAAAACCTATTTAAACCAACCAAACCAAAACTAACGACCAAAATCTATCTTGGCATTGGTTTATTTTAAACACCTATTATATATATGTGTGTTTTTTATATAAATGTACTAGCTTGAGTATAGTGTATTAAAAAAAATTTTTAAGTATTTTTATTGTAATTTAAAGTATATTGGATTAAATATTATAAATATTTGATTATATTTCAATTTTTGGTTAAAACGTTTTAATGTAGAATATCGAAATAAAATAATGCAATTAAATAAAAATGCAAACATTAACAAATATAAGGATTATTTGGTTATGAAGTCACAACTCTGGCCTCTCTAATTTTAGATTTTAGTGATTTAAACGAAATAATTACTAAAATAACTTATTAACACATTTATTTCATAGGAAAATTTGCTGCCTAGTGTAATAACTCCTTAATATTAACGGATTATTTGTTGCACTAACGAAATAAATCCGTTAATTTAACGGACTATTCCTAACGGACTTCAATTCGTTAAAATTTTAATTCGTTAACTTAACGGATTTCCCGTTAGTGCAATAGCGACAGATACAATTCGTTGTATATAACGGATTTTTTCTTAGAGTGTATATATTATTACTTTAGATATTTTAAAATTTTAGTTTTTTTTTGCGACATTCTTTATTTATTTATTTTTGTTTGTTTATATTTTTGTCTTTGTTTACAAAAACAAACAAATAAGGCTTCTGAAAGAAGATCATATTATTAGAACCTTTTACAAGTTTTTTAGATAAATGCGTAAACAAAACTAAAAAATTACAAATCGTGATATAAATTGAAAATATAAATCAACCCACAAATGTATATAATAAAAAAGTATGATCTTATCGTCAGAACTTATAAAAAAATAAATATTATAAATACATATATAAATATATATAAAGTAAATACAATAAGAAATATATACGCAAAAATATAAATACATGTGTATATATATATATATATATATATATATATATATATATATATATATATATATATATATATATATATATATATATATATATATATATACAAAATATATATACAGTGCTAAAAATTAATTACTGTATATATACAATATATCAGTAATTTTTTAATGTTCTGTGTATACGTTCAACTATACCATTACCTTGAGCTCGATGTGCTGCTCGATATTCCAAATTGACATGCCATTCTTCAGCAAAACTTAATAACGTGTTGGACCGAAATTCGTTGTCCATTAGAAGACATACTGGCGGACCAAATAAAGAGAATATTTCTTCGAGTCTACCAACAACTTCAGCAGCTGCTTTAGTTGCAAGTTTACGCCATATTGTATACCGTGATGGACCACAGTCAATCATTGATAAGTAAAGTTCAGCACCTACATGCGTCACGTCAATGGCAACCCGATTCCAATTTTTTTCTACGCTTAGTTGGCCATTCTTCCACTTTACGGAGTAAGGATCAATGGAGTTACACTGGTTACAATTCGCAATTACTGCTGAAACCTCCTTACGTGATACATTCTGATTATTTCGCAAGCAAAGTTGTAATGTTCGAGCAACACCAAAATGACCAATTGAATGAATTTTCCATATGTCTTTTTGTTCAAGTAATCCAGCTGCACACACTGTTCTGCACCATTTTTGAGGGATTCGTGAGAGTCGATCAGCCAAATTTATCTCAGATGGAATCCATTGTACTGCGATCTGAATATCTTTTGCCACTTCCTTAATAGTATTCAATCGTCTTTGTACTAACAATTGAGAAATTCTCCGAGTTTTTACGCGATATTCTTCCTTCAAAACTGCGTTTAACTATCCTACGGTGCTCTTGCTATCACTGTATACTGTTAACTCTTTTATGCCCCACTTACTAGCTAAGTTTAGTCCTCGAAGTATAGAATCCAGTTCACTTATATTGATATGGTGTGTGTCACTCGCTGGCCGTAGCCATGCCGCGTCTTCAACAACTACTCCACCAATGAGCAGAACTACCCCAAGTCCTATAGATGATGCATCACAATAAAGCTCAGCTTTTCCATTAACTGGTACCAGCCATTTTCCACCAACCGGATCCTCTTTTTCCACACGGTAAAGCAACTCTTTCAGTTTTTCTTTACAATCTTCAGAAATAAAATCACACCAAGGTATATTTCCAGCTAAACGTTTCATGTATGAAGCTTGTAAACGCAAACTTCCTTCCACCGGGTAATGTCCAATAAGTTTGCCTAACTGGCTGAAAAGCTGTGATCGTGTGACTGCATTTAAAGATTCGAATTGTACCACATTGTCTCGTTTCCATATCAGTTCCCCGTTTTTATTTCTTTCGACTCTCAATCCTAAGACACGTCCTTGTTCAAGATCTTGTGGAGGTTTACATTGTAATCCGAATTTAAGCAGATGCTTCGCTTCATTTTTCGCAGTTTCCACACTTTCATCCACAAATATATCATCAATGTAGTTATCACATGCTTTCTTTACGGTTGGATTTAAATTGAGCACATGCCGAAGAATTGTGGTCATTATTGTTGGAGCCACATTGATGCCAAAACACATCCTGGTAAAACAATACCGTTGCCCATTTATAATCACCGTTTGATATGGCCAAAGTTTTTTATCAATATGAATTTGGAGGTAGGCTTTTTTTTTTAGATCGAGAATTTTTGCATTTTTTACTTTTCTCCAGCAACGCAGTTTTTCTTGACAAACGTCCGCATTTGCCGTATGACAATTTAGAAATTCGTTGAGAGCTCGGAAATCTCCCACTGGACGTACCTTTTTGTCCTTGTTTTCTTGCACTACGCACATAAGCGGTATCAATACTTTTGGTGGTCCCAATTTAGTTCGTTATATGGTACAAGAATACCAGAGTCAATCCATTCACGTATTTCTTTACGGTAACTACGTTCGTGCTCTTGGTTCATCTTGTATTCACAAATGGTATTATCAATTACAGGCTCTTTATTCCAGTTCCATGATGCCGTCCATTTTTTTCCGTCGAACTTTGCTGTGAAGTCCTGATGTTTTATTTCGTTTCTTTCGTTCTCTTCATTTCTTGTTGTATTTTTGACACCACATTTTATTTTTTGTACTTCGTTTTTGCTTTTTCTTGTCGTATTAATAACATCAATTTTTAATTCGTTTATTTCGTTTTCGTTTTTTCTCGTTGTAGTAACGGCACCACATTTCGCTTTGTCGCATGCTAACATTCGGACGTTACAGTTTTTATTACCATAAATGATAACTCCTCCAAATTTTTTAATTGCATTCATTCCAAAAATCAAATCAAACCCAAATGGTTTTTCTTTTACAACCATAGAATTAACCATCCGGTGTATTCCATCAATTTCCAGATTGATTACCATTTCACCCAGCACTTGCACAGTTCCTCCCAAAGTTGTGATAAGTTTTTGACTTTTTAACACAAGCCCATGCGCGGACTCAGCATGAACCACAGTAATGGAGCATCCAGAATTAATTAATGCTGTTCGGAGCCTTCCATTTATTTTCACTTTTAATGATGGCAACGTAATTTCTGGGAGAATACTGGGTGCCATTATTTCCAGATTCTCCTCTTTCCTTTTAAACCTTGCAATCGTTTAAAGCAGTTTTTAGCTTGATGATCGTATGAACAAGTCTTGCATTTTTCTTCGCAGTCCCTTGCAAAATGTCCAAATTTTCCACAATTGAAACATTTAACTTTGTTTATGTCGGACGCACCAGACGTCCGTGAAAGTAACGATGTTGCGCCAATCATTACATTCTCGGAACCATCTAATTGTCGAGCTTCCTGGGTTACTCGTTCAAGGGTAACAGCTATTTCCAAAGCCTTTTCAAAAGTTAGTTCTTCAGATTCCAGTAGTAACCGTTTGATTGTAACACCATCGTTAAAACCCGTGATGAATTGGTCGCGCATTCCATCATCTCTATCCGTGAATTTGCATCCTTCATCAGCTCTTGTAATCCGTCGTGAAAATTCCGTCACATTTTCGTTACTTGCTTTTTTTATAGTTGCAAATTCAAATCGTAGTATTAACGATGACTTCGGTTTAAAAAGCTTCATGATGTTTTCCTCGATGTCTTCGTAGGTAACTGAGTCATCTTCAGGGTATGCAGGCAAGCATAGATCTTCTAGTGCGGAATAAATCTGTGGTGCCAAACATGTTAATATTATTGTTTTTCTTTTGGATTCGGGTACGTCCATCGCAGTTATGTATGTTCGTAGTTGGCGGACGAACCGCTGATGGTTGCCATCGAATACCGGTGGCATAATGGCCGAAATAGCTTGTTTTATCGTCGCGTCCATTTAATTTAATAACGTTTATAATCTATAGCTTTATATATTCTTTCTCCCATCCTATACAAAAATCTTTTCTCTATATATATTAATTTAAACTGTTAATTACAGTTGAAATAACTTACGTAGATGCGTGACTTTCAACACGCATCTACGTGATTTCTAACACGTACAATTCACCAACATAATAATAGAACAATGATATTTTTCTGGTCAATGCTTCAACTTTTTTTCCATGTAAAAATTTGTTTTTACTGTTATATCTCCTTATATATCAAAGTGCAATTTCATTAATTATTTTGATAATTACTACCTTTCTTACTCTCTCTCTCTCTCTCTCTCTCTCTCTCTCTCTCTCTCTCTCTCTCTCTCTCTCTCTCTCTCTCTCTCTCTCTCTAAACATATATATATAAATATATATATATATATATATATATATATTTATATATATATATATATATTTATATATATACACTGTGTCAAAAAAGTTTTCATCCACCTATCCTGTACATCTTTCAGACGTGATAACTTTACATTCAGCAAAGATATAAGCATAACTTCAACTTAATTATATCAGTTAACCATTCAAGAAGTATTGTATAAAAAGATTTTACAAAATAATGAATAGAAATTAAAATACAACATTTAAACATAAACAATGCATGTTTTTGCGCCAAAAAAGTTTTCATCCACCCTGCACTCCAACCTCAATTTGTTATTAAATCAGTATTAAAGTATCATTTTTAAAATATAAATTAGATTTAGTAAGATTTTTGTATTTTTTTTTTTTTATATGAGTTTTTTATATTTTTTATTTTTGTTAGATTATTAATAAAAATGAGAGTTGCAGAGGAAATTAGATTGCTTATTGTTAGACTATGGAAAGAGGGAAAATCACAGCGAAATATAGGAAAAATAGTAAAGAAATCACGTGCAACTGTGCAGTCTATTATTAAGAAATACCAAACCACCAAAAAAATTGCTGATAAGCCACGTACAGGGCGTCCAAATAAAATTCAAGTATTGCATCGACGAGCTATATTAAGAACAGTCATCCAGAATCCTAAAATAAGTGCTCCAAAACTCGCTGGAATGCTGCAAAATGATTACAATTTAAAAGTGGACCCTGAAACTGTTAGAATAACCTTAAGAAGAGCTGGATACAATGGTAGAGTACCATTGAAAAAGCCCTATATCAGCAAAGTCAACAAAGCCAAACGACTACACTTTGCAAAACTTTATATCAATGAACCACAAACATTCTGGGAATCGGTCCTTTTCAGCGATGAATCAAAATTTAATGTGTTTTCATCAGATGGAAGAGTTAAAGTTTGGAGAAAACCAAATGAAGCATTTAAAAAACAAAACTTGTGTCCAACGTTGAAGCATGGCGGAGGAAGTGTTTTAGTGTGGGGGTGTATGAGTGCTTCAGGTGTAGGAAACTTGGTTTTCATTGATGGAAATATGGATCAAAATGTGTATTTAAACATTCTAAAAAATAATCTGGAAGAAAGTGCCCATAAATTGGGACTTACTAGGTCATTTACTTTTCAGCAAGATAACGATCCAAAACATACTGCCAAACGTGTCAAGGAATGGCTTATATTTAAAATAGCTAAGCAACTTCATACACCCCCACAATCTCCAGATTTGAATCCTATTGAACATCTGTGGGATGAATTGGGTAGAAGAATTAGGACCCACGATGTGAGGAATCAACAACAACTCCAATTAGTAATTATGAAAGAGTGGGGCTTAATCACTCCAGAAATTACTAAAAAATTAGTTTGTTCAATGAAAAACAGACTACACGAAATAATAAAAGCTTGTGGTGGAAACACAAGTTATTAAAACACTAATAAATTGAGTTCGTATGACAATTTTATTTGATTTTTGTAAAGTGGATGAAAACTTTTTTGAGACAAAGATGTCTATCTTTTATTCCAAAATGCTGTATTTTATTTGTAACTCATTACTTTAAAAAACTTTTTTTGTACAATATTTCTTAAA